TTTTAAACCCTTCCCACACTCTTGCAATAATCTAAACAATGTTTCTAAACTCTAAACATTCTAAAAGAGCACAGAATGTCGTGGAGGTCATGACACGCTGCAGGAGGAAGCTTCTCCCTGCACATATGGGCTGCACACAGGTGCAGCAGGTGCGAAATAATTAAATTATTTATTTTAAATAAAAATGCATGCCAATCGTACGGCTCATCCATCAATCAGCCAATTGTGTCTCATGTCCAATCTTACTTTGAAAAACTGCGAAAGTCGAACTGTATACACTTTTCATGTTTCACAAACATGAGTAATACAGAAGTTACTTCTAAATGTGAATGAAAATTGTAGCACATTTGTTTTTTTTTTCTTTTAGGTTTACAACTGGTAAAATAATTTGACCACCAATGTGAGTTAGAACTGCAGGAGTACACCGTCTACCTGTTTTGTGCCACAGAGAAGTGCTGCAGGAGGGGCAGCCAGCAGACAGAGAGGCCTTGAAGCGAGGAGATGCTGTTGTCGTCCAGATGCAGCTCTCTGAGCACAACCTGGTTGTTCAGAACGGGGGGCTGAAGCAGAAACAAGCTGTCAGGTCACACTAGTCACACTGCGAGGTTAGACTAACTTTACACTGCCGCTGCGGCTGAGCAGCAACCAACTGCCTCCATCCATCAGAGTCAGCTAGTTAAGACCTGCTGCGTTACTGTCGTCAGCACACACACACACACACACACACACACACACACTAAGGAAAAATCTAACTTCTTTTAGTCTGTTGCCCCTTGGAGATCATACAGTAGTGAAAGTCATTAAATTTCCTGCAAAAATTGTGTGTTTTTAGGCCATTTTTTAAAATGTGCAATTCTTTCAAATTTCATATTTTAAGTTTTTTTTTGTAGAGCTTTAGAATAAAAGATCAACTGTGTGGCATGTTTATATTATATTATATTTATGATAAGCTTCAGATTGTAAAATGATGTGGGGGTTTTTTTTCCATCTTTTTATGGAAAGTAAAATTAGTTAAATTGAAACAGCATCTTGTTGACAATTTAGAAAATCTTAAAAGTGAACACAATGTAACTTCTGCAAATTCATGTTTGAATTCTCAGTAATTTTATAAAAAATATGTGTGGAAAAGTTTTTTTTAAACCAAAAAAAGTTAAGAGTATAGGAAAGGTGCCTCACGAGCATGACATAATGTTCAGGTAAAATGGGCCAAAATAAAAATAATAATTTTATCTAAAATACTAAAATACTTGTAATTGTATCTGTAAAAAATGACACAAAATTCACATCAAAATAAATTAATTTATTGATAAAATAAAAATTAACGGTTAACGTTTTATTTAAAAACAAAACATAAAAATAGGCGTTTGTGTTGCTGAACTTTAGTGTCCGTGTGCGTTTTTGTGTTTGAACTTATTCAAGTTTCAGCTCGTAGGTCAAACCGTCCGGCAAAAATTTAGAACAATTTTTGAACATGGGATAAAATCATAAAAGCATTAAAAAAAATAACTTGTCTAGTTGATAAATTATGACACTTTAGTGAGGAGTTCTGAAACCCTCACCGACAGATGTTCCAGATGTAAACATCGTCAGCTCAGAGTTGTGGCCTTACAGTCATTTTACGATGCATATTCTCTGTGATGCATGAAAAACAGTTTTAGTATTTTCGTTATCTGCGTCAGAATAATTGTGTAATTTTGCATCACAAGGTTTAATGTTGTTTAAGCAGTGGCTCATGTTAGATTCTTCCCGCACACATAAGACTAAAACATTCTGTTTGTTAGTAAGCCTAATTAAAATTAATTTATCACACTTGTTAGTTATGAATAAATTAATTATGCCAGGCTCAGTTTTAATGCTTTTGCTCTGCAACGCATCACTTACTGTTCCGTTGTAAACTCTCGTATTGTTCTTTAACTTTATTATTAAATAATAAAGTTATAATAATTAGTATTATTATTCATGTTTCTTGGGGGGGGGGGGGGGAAATCAACCACAGCTTAAAACATTATGTTTTAATGTTTGTTTGTTTTGTCACAATAAACTGGACAATCTTTGAGAACTATTGCAGCCTGAAATTTTTAAAAAATCTAATTAAATTATTTTTTTATTTTACTTTTTAAAGTAGTATTTTTAAACTAATTTTAAAATACTAAAATTACTAGTTTTTGAGAAAAAAAAAAAAGACAAAATATTTACATTATGGTAATTTTTGGAAAAATAAAAAACTGTCCCCATTAGTATGCCCAAAATGATTAAAAAAAAAATAATAATAATAATAATGTCAGAGTTTTGTGAAGACCCTCTTGCCTGCTGGACGCTTGTCATCTAGATCTGGACAGATCCGATAGTTAAAACTGTTTCTCTTAAACTTCCTCCTCTCTCTCGGACACAGAGGGTTTTAAGCTTTTGCTTGCTCAATTTGAATTTCCCTGAACTATTTAGGATTAGTAAAAACTCACAAATACAAAAACAAACCTTGTTTTTGAGTGCTTGGGAGTTTAGGTAAAATAATAATAATAAACATATTCATATATATATATATATATATATATACGTATATGTATATATATATATATATATACATATATATATATATATACATATATATTTCAAATTAAAAGTACAATTTAAAATCTAGTCCCTCTGAATTGGGACTAGTCTAAAGCAAGTGTCCAGCATCAGGATGCATGTTCTCAGGAGAGTAAACTTGTTCTTTTAATTATTTTTTCATTTTATTTTTATTTTTTTTAACTCTACCTGTGGTAGGAACACCAGTTTCTGATTTGTTTTGTGCTTTTACTCACCTGGACATACAGTAGCAAGCTGTGGGAGCAATGTGTACCCGCTGATGACACCCTGCTTTGGGGGAACCAACAGCAGTCAGCTGGGGTCAGATGCACGTGAAACAGCTTTTTCCTACTAAATGTTTACTTCATTTCATTTACTTGTGCATGTTACAAGTGCCTTTACATCCAAACTAAAACAGTTTTGACAGATGAGATGAAGAGCGGGACTCCGCAGCGACAACTGTTCAATAGAAAGTTCTGCTTTTTGGGTAAATTGAAGTCCGTCTCGATAAATTTCTACAGAGGCTCTCAAATGTAAAAACGGAGCACCACCTAGGGAGCCAATATAAAAATCAAACGTATAGGAATAAAGGTCCAAATAAAAAGTAATACTGAGAGGATATGATAAATATGGGATTACATTTGTGTTTACAGTGTCTTTCAATGTGGCAGTTTTTTTCTCGTAAGGAACACACGAGTGCAGTAAAGTTACTGTGACGTCATGAGAGCATTTAAAAAAAGAAATCTGACAAAATAAAAAAAGTTGAAGAATTTTTAGGCTTTGTTCAAAAAAAAAAAAGAAAAAAAGTTGTGTTTATTCACGTCCCCGCCCCCAAAATTAAAAATTAAAAACTCAAGACTAAGTTGCAGATTTTTCTCTAAAAGACAATACAAGGGTGAACTTTCATCCAGGACGGTGTGTAGGTAGATATGCAAGAGCAAGAAATGTGAATATATATGTATATATATATAGATGTTTTTTTAGTTTTTTTTTTATTATTATTATGATAATTGTTCATGTTTCTTTGACCTTATTTGGCACTTTTTAGCTGAATTCACTGTGAAGAAAGTCTGTTTGTTTGTTTGTTTGTTTACCTCTGTAAGACTGTTGGATCTTAGGTCCAGCGTGTGGAGCAGGGCGTTGTTCTCCAGACCCTCCACAGTGGCCAGGTGGTTGTGTGAGCAGTCCAGGTGGAGGAGTGTGTAAACATCCCGCAGCCCTTTGGTGCAGATCAGCTGGTTATGGTCAACCAGGAGCCTCTGCAGCCTCTTAGCAGACTCCAGACCAGCTGGAAACAAAACAAGAAGTCCATTTTTAGGACATTAAAGAAGCTCTCTTCGAGGAGAGTCTGCTAGTGAACAAGACAAAACCGTGAAACCAGTTTCAAGATACCACTGGCTGCAGGTTGATTCTGGGCTGACTGGAAGGGAAATGCTGCCCTCTGGTGTGGAGCATTAAATCATTAAAACTAGTTCAGGCAGCTGCCATAAAGAGAACTCAAACAACAAACATCTGGAAATCTCGTGTTTGTTTAAGATCCTATTTATATTTCTTATTGTTGCTATCTCTATTCTGTATTCTGTGGTTTTAGTTTTCTACACCACCCTACAATCTAGCTGTTTTTTGTTACATTTCCTTTTAAATACCATTTTATTTTCATTTGTAAAATAAATAAATAAAATCTCAACTTGTACGCAACCTTTATGATTGTCTATTATTGTCCTTGTTGTCCACTGTTGTCATCACTCTTTGTTAAAGTCAGGTCTCTCTTGCAAATGAGTCCCTGAGGCTCAAAGGGATTAACTTTTATAAATAAAGGTTGAATGAAGGGACTTTTTTTTCATCCATCTCGTCCCACAGTTTTCAAGCTATTTCAACAAACCATATATCAAAACGTTCAGCTCGTTCATGAGAGGGGTGCTCTGACTTTTGGTTATGGTGCACCTTTAACTTTTTGAAATATTTAGCCTTTTCTGCCTTTTTTTGTCCTCATAGGAAATGAATTAAGCTCATTTTACATCCTTCAGATCTTTAGCTCTGTTTACAACCTTTTACTGCTCCTTTCACATTTTGTTCTGCTTCAGCTTCTTTCAGCTTCTTTGTGCAAATGTAAACTTTTTTCAGCTACTTTCAGCTTATTTCACCTGTTTTGTTCTCTTTTCAGAATCTTCTAACTACGATTTTTTTGTGCTTTCTAATGTCTTTCAGCTAATTTCAGCTTGTTCTGCTCCTTTCAGCTTATTTCTGCAAGTTTCAGCTTTAATTTGCTATTTCAGCTACTATTTAGTTGTTTATGCTAATTTTTAACTTTTTCAGCTAATTCCACATTTTTTTGCTCTTGTTTCAACCTTTTTCAGTAAAAATCTGCTCTCTCAACATCATTTTGGTAATTTAAGCTTCTTTCTGCTTTTTTAGCTACCTTTCAGCTGGTTTTTACTAGTTTCAGCTTTTTTCAGATAACTTCCACCTTTTGGTGCTCACTTCTGCTTCTTTGAACCTAACTGGGCAAAATTGTGCTCTCTCCACTTTCTTCTGGTAATTTAAGCTTCTTTCTGCCGTTGCAGCTACTTTTCAGCTATTTCTTGCTAATGTCAACTTTTTTGCTAATTTACCAATTTTTGTGCTAATTTCTGCTTATTTAAACCAAATTCAGCAAATATGTGTTCTTTCTGCTTTCTTCTAAAACATACTTGTTCTTCCATTTCAGGTGCATTTCAGCTATGCATGTTTTTATCTAATTTCAGCTGTTTTTCAGCAAGTTCTTCAGCAAACAAGCATTCACACTGCATTTCCACTGGACATGCAGTTTCTCTAGTTTGTATGGAGTTGATTTTTTTATTTTTTTTATTTACGATTTAATTATCTATACAAACGCTCAAAAAGTTGTGCTGACATTTCCCGAGTCCCATGAATCTCTTTAGTTCTCACCGATGCGGGTGATGGAGTTATACGACAGGTCAAGAACATCCAAACGTTCAGCACCACTTAAACCGTGGATGGATGTCAGCTTGTTGTTGGAGAGTCGAAGAACTCGTAAACTTCTCATATCTTCACAGTCCAAAAATGAAATGTCGTTCTCCTGGAATGTCACATTTTAGAAAAACTATTGTTGGGGGGAACAGTTAAAGGGCAGCAGTAAGTTGTACTAAGTGAAGTGGATATTCACCTGTAGATCAATGTAGCACAGTTCCTGCAGCTGACTGACGCCCTCCAAAGACCTGAGGCCGCAGCGTCTCAGGGTAAGGGACTGCAGATGGATACACTGGACAAGAGTGGACAGGCTGCAGCTGGGCACATCCTCCAACATCAACGTGGTGACCTGACAAAGAGCGCAATAAGTTTGTAGGAATGTGGGAAATTTAGAAATCGATTTAGTTTTTTCCCAAGTTTCTTCAAGAGAGTATAATTATCCCATAAAATGTGGAATAAGATTGATTTGAAATTTAACACCATTTTGTTTCCATAGAGAATTTTGTTATAGTATTTATTTTTTTTATTCCGTGTGTTTGTTTTATTGCATTTTCTTTTAAGGACATTCAGGAAACTAGGTGCATTTCATCACATAATACTTCATTTGTACTGTGTATTTAACAAAAATGTATAAAATGTCTTAAGTTGTGTGGGGGAAAGTAACCAATAAATCTTGGGCCATCTAAAGATATCTACAGTTCAACAACATCGCGCACTCCTTCTGTCACCTCCACCCCATCGGTGCAGCAGCTTCTGTGCCCTCCACCTCAGATGAGCCCACTGACAGCAACAGGACCAAAAGCTGCACTAACGGACCTGCTGGTTGGCTGCTGATTAACTCTCCCCTCCAGCTGATGAGGTATGAAAAACTTTAGAGGAATATTTCAAGTTGAGAAACAGCTTGTTTTCCTAAAATAAAAAGGACAGACGAAAGTGTCTTTCTTTTTTTTTTTGTTTGTATCGATTTATCTCTAGGCGACACAGTGGCTCAGTTGGAAGAGCTGCTGCCTCTCAGCGAGAAGGTCGCCGGGTCAAATCCCGGCTGGGGACATTTCTGGGTGGATCAAAGTTCATGTTCAATAATCCAGGTAAAAAAAAAAATCATATAAAAAGTTAAGTCAAGTCAGGTCAGGAAAGTTAAGTCTCGGACTGACGAAGTCCTTTGGATGAAGGACGAAACATTTCAAATTAAAAATAAATAAATAAATAAACTGTCCAGATGACCTGACTTAACTTTATTGGATTTTCTGGGTGGAGTTTTCATGTTCTCCCCGTTCATGCGTGGGTTTTCTCCCGGTGCTCCAGTTTCCTCCCACAGACCAAAAACATGCATGTTAGGCTGATGGGTAACTCTAAATTGTTCCTAGGTGTGAGTGTGAATGGTTGTTTGTCTCGTGTCCCTGTGATGGACTGGAGACCTGTCCAGGGTGGAGATGGACACCAGTGTCCCCCGTGACCCAAAAAGGACAAAGCAGGTACTGTAATAGATAATGGATGGATAGAAGGTTATTTATCTACTTTCTTATTAACCGTTTTGATTGGGTGACTTGTTTAAAATAATTTATTTCAGTGCAAAGGGGGGGGGGGCACCAACTAAATCTTGCCTGGGGGTGTCTAATTGGTGCAGGGCTTGGACTTTGGGACATCATCCCATTTATTTATTTTTAAATCTCACGCCTTCAATCAGGCTTCATAGTTTATCGTGTGACCCATCAGAGGTGTGTGGGTGTCGTCGCTGAGAACTTGTTACCTCCTGCAGGGATTTCCAGCCTGAAGTCTGAAGGAGAGTGTGTGCGCAGAGGGGGGGCGGACTGCAACCTCTGGCTGCCCTCCTCAACCCCGTCACACTCCGGCGGGGACCTTTCTGCTTCCTCCTGTTGTGGAGGGACAGTTTGGACCAGGACACGCAGTCTTTCATCCAGGTCAGTCTCTTCTGCTCCGTGTGCTCCAACAGGCCGGCAGGTGAAAAGCAGGAAGGTTTTACCGGAGAATCGTGTTGATCCGGAGTTTTCTTTGCACAAGTGTCTAAAAGATGAGGCCGAGTCGTTTCAGAACTGATTAGTGTCTCGTTGACAGGACCCGGTCTGGAGGAGTCCTGGTCCCCAGTTCTCCAAGATTTTAGGTTGTCGTTTTCTCCTTTCTTGTCTTCCAGTTCATCGTTGGTGGTCAACACTTTTGTTTTAGAGTCATGCGTCTCTTTCCCCTCTCTGGTCTCCTCCATAAGGGTTTTCATTTCTCCTTTCACCTCCTCCACTCTGTGCCTCTTGTCCACCTCTCTACCTCTGATGTCATCCACTTTTCTCCACTCACTGTCCTTCTCGTTAAAGATTTTAATTTCTCGATGCTTTATTTCTTCATCCTCCGTTTTTCTCGCAGCTTTTCTCTCTTCTCTTTGTCTTCCATGCTGTTCGATGTTCTTTATTTCTTGCTTGGTTCTCTTGTTGTCTTCTGTGTGACCGTTTTCTTTCAGTTTCCGTGTTTCTTCGTCCATCTCTTCATCTGGGTGTTTATTTTCCAGTAGTCGTAGCCGCTCCTCTTTTGCGGTTCTTTTCTCTTCACTATTTTCGAGTTGCGTTTTGTCTGTTTTATTCGTTCCCGTCTCGTCCTTTGTTTTTTGTTCACCCTCCTTCTTTTGTCTCATCTCCTCGTGGTTCATTTTCATTTGAGTGATTTCTCTCAGTTCTTCCTCTCTTCTTTTCTCCTCCATGCTCTTTGTTCCACTCTCCTCCTTTTCCATCTTCTTCACTTCTTCCTTAAACTTTATTTTTTCATTTTTTCTGTTCTTACCATCTCTCATCGTGTTTCCAATCACCTCGAGAAACATCTTCTCCTCTTCCACTTGTGTTTCCTCCTCCAATCTTTTCTTGTTTCTCATCCCTCCTTTCTGTGCTTCTTCCTCCTTTTTCCTCTCATGTTCTTCTTCTGATCGTTTCATATTTTCTTCCCCGACTAAAATTTCTTGAATTTTTCTCTCTTCCTTCATCTTTTTCTTCGTTTCTTCTCCTCTCCAGTTTTTGTCATTTTCAAGGTTTTTATCTTCCTCCTCTTCCTCCTGTTTTTCTTCCCTTTTTCTCTCGTCTTTTTCCACTTCAACCCTCATTTCAACAAGTTTTTCTTTTTCTTCCATTCTTGTTCTCTCTTTTTGTCTTTTCTTTCTGTCTTCATCCTCTTTTTTCTTTTTCTCTTCCTTCTTCATTTTCAGCTCTTCTGTTTTGTTTCTCTTTTTCTCCTCTTCAATCATCTTCCTCTCCTGCTCCACTCTCTTTTTTAATTTATGAATGAGCTCCTAATAGGAAAAAATACTGCTGTTAATTAAACAATTTAAAAAAAACATCTAGATTAATTTTATTACCAAGATACAAATAATAAGGAAACTATGAGCAATTGTCATTTTAGTCTATTTACCTAAAGTGTAAAAAAACGTATTTAATCAGCAAATATCAGGTTTGTTTTTGAGTTCAATAAAGATGTGATTTATGAATTTAAACCTCCCCAAATCAATGCTACATTATGATACTAACAGAAATTGTACTGAGCAAAAGTCTTGAGTCGCTCATCATTTTTTACATTCTTGTCTTTCTTAATTTGTCTCTGAGCAGAAATTCTCCAGGCTTCATGAGTTGTTCAGTCCAACTCAACATGTTAGCCACAATCCAGTTCAGTTTATTTATATAGTGCCAAGTCACAGAAGTCATCTCAGGGCACTGAACAGAAACATTCATATATAAAAATAATAATTTAACACTATTTATCTGAGGAGCAGACTGCTTTGAGTTTAACTCCATCGCAGAACTCTCATCTTGAGCAAGCATGAAGGCGACAGTGGAAAGGAAAAACTCGCTCATGAGGAAGAAACCTTTAGCAGAACCAGGCTCGGGAGAAGTGGACGTCTTGTCAATCAAACCCAAATAAAGCTCACGATGGTTCTTTAGGAGTTAAAACTTTGCTGGGCCTCTCTCTGACTGTAAGCCCAACAAAAATAAATAAATAAATTTTTGCACAGCATCGTCCGGCTGAGTTTGAGTTTAGGTTTAAAAACAGCAACATTTTGGTCGCCTTATGTTGCTTCTACAGACATAAAGGTGCAACTCATGTGTGGCGTGGTTTAAATGTCATATGCAAATCTGCATTTATCCAATAAACTGCTGGAATGGACATAAACTGAGCGTCATCAGACACACAACCACAGGGCATCATTATAGGACTAAGCTCTACCTGTACACGTCTGTGACATAATCCAAGAGACTTAGTAACTAAATTTGTATATTATAGATTGTGCCTCCTCCTCCTAATACCTAATCAGGTCCCATAGATAAAAGTATAAACACCAGTTTAGCTCTTGGATTGGGATGATGCCAGTTTTGTCTCACTTCTTGTCATCACTGACTGGCATTCATATTTTGAACACATGCACATAGTTTCCCACAAGGATGATATATAAAAAATGTAATTGAAGGGTTGTTTTTTTTCAATAACCACACTGCTTGAAAGTGCCACTTTAGGTTTACCTGCTGAATCAGCAACTCCTGTTCAATTTTTTCCTGAGCTTGATTTCTTGTCAGCTCAAGTTCCATCTTGTGGAGCTGCACACACAATGTTTGATTGAAATAATTAAAATTCATTAACATGAAGCAGCAGCTCACTGAAATACAGACTGAACATGTTTGCTTGAGAATAAAATGTGCATGAGGCACAAACTCTTACACGGAGTGTTTTGGTATTTTACAGAACAAGTAAGCATAAACTGCCGTTTTCAGCAGGTCAAAATGAGTATTTAAATCCAGAGGAGCCTACTTTTTCTTTCTCCGTGATCTTTTTAAGCTCTTCTTGGAAATGAATCTCTCTTTGTCGCCTCTGCTCTTCTTTCTGCACCTCCTCACAGAAAGCTTTTTGTTGTTCTGCTCCACGGTTGGTGCTTTCCCTCACAAAGTCATTCTCATCCTCAGGACTGTCTGTGAAAAAAATCATAAAGTGTATAACTGTTCAGTCAATCAGAAAATAACAAAGAAATCAAGCATAAAATTTGACTTGTTGTGAACTTTTCTTATCTGGTTAAAGGTGGGATTATTCATCTTATTTTACAGCTGAAAAGTAAACAAAAATGAAACAACAGCGCACTCTTCTGGTCAAATTTATTCCTGCATTTGTTTGAGTGAGCGGTGACATAATCAACAATAAATAAATAAAAAGTCTGTTCAATTTGGTTTGTAAATTGTGGACTATTAGTAAATAAATACAGCCCTCTATTTTATCAAACATAAAACCAGAACTGCTCTTTATAGGCTGCGTGTGTTGCACAGAATGGCATAATTTTCTAAAAACATTTTAAAATACTTCGCAGATAACCTTAAAAATAATATGCCCATAGTGTCGTTAATATAAGAACTTTCAGTTGCGCTGATTTTCAGTTTCAGACAAACCCAGATGGGTTTTCACAGAGATGTTTGTCACACGTTTTTATTTCATCCATCAAAGCTCCACTTTTGACCTTCCGTCATGTCTCATCATCTGTTTCAGAAGCAACTGGGAAAACAAGCCTGTTAACTTGTGCTTTTTAATGGTTGAGGTTGCACTTTGTTAGTGGGATAAACATTTACTTTTACAATTTGTTTACTTATTTACAGAGGTAATTTTTTATCAAACCTTCCCCGGGATGGGAGCCTGTGAAGTCTGAAAGGCAAGTAAAAAAAAAAAAAAAAAAACAGTTTCAAGATCAGCCTCTTTGTTGTGTGAGCCACTGTAAATGTGTTGTCTGAACTGGGTTTGTTTTAATTATTATGGGTGTTAAACAGATGTGTTCATTGAAACAGATGTGTTCAATGATTTTGAGCATTTTAGAAGTTACAGCACCTTCAATCTCCTCCAGGATGAGTTTCTCACAAACTGACGCTCTGCTTTTTGAAGCCTCGAAGTAGCTGAGTAAAGATTGTGGGATATCTTCTGAAACCTGTACAAAAAGAGTGATGGTTTTGAGTTAATGTCACTTCATCCTAACATGCAAACTCTTCAGAACAAGGTTTATGTTACAGTGATGTTCCTGTTTAAACATCTCATCACCTGCTTTCAAATAAATGAAGCAAAAACTGGCTCATTAATCTGTATGGGCAAGAGGTGATTCAGTTTATTCAAGTTAAACTTGTTTTTCTGTTTGTCAACAAGTCAGTACAGCTAGTTGAAACAAACCAATCAGATTTTCCCACTATAGTGTAAGGCGTTGTACATTCACACTTATTTTTAATGATTTATTTATTTAATTTTGTCATATTCCACCCCCAACAGTAATTAGCGTACAGGTTAAAATGAGCACAAAAGCTTTCAGGTTACAGTTATCCTTTAAGCTTTTCACAAAACTTACCTCTTCATTATATGAAAACACTTCCGGTTCGACTGTACTTTCATCAATGTCCGACAATATCAATTTATTCGGGTCCAACATGGCGGCAGCTACACTAATTAAATTAACGACAATTTATCGTGACAATATTTGTATTATGTAGACACTGTTGTGAGTAAACGGTCTACCAGTTTATCTGTTTACATTTCTTCGAGACTAGACGAGACGTTCTTGTGAGTTTAACTTGTTTTAGTTTCCATGGAAACGCAGCGCACCCTACGTAAAGTCACGAAGGACAAACGGTGCGATGCGCGTACTAGAAGTACTAGAAAGTATTTTGTTTTTTCTTTGTTGTTCACAAGAAAATGTTTCTTCTCTAACAAAGTATTTCCATTTAGACAATACAGAAGACAACGGGGTGATATCTTCGAGAAATATTATTACAACACACAAGACCGGAAGTAGTGACACAAAGCACAAACGTCTCCATTTTTCCCCAAAATTTTTTATTGTAAAATGTCACATGTCAAAGTTAGCCAGGGGGGTTGAACATATGTGCATAAATGTTAAATAGAATGACAATAACAGTAACAAAATTGAAAACAATAAAACAAGTCAGGTCAAAATAAAATCAGGAATTTCAAAATATGAACAAGTTAAGTGTGGGTGTTGTTAACTAATTATTTACTACAAATGTCCTAAGACCATAAGTGTAAGGCAAAACCTTCCTTTAATTGTTTTAATGGACAGGATCAAATGGTATAAAAAAATCACTTGTTGCCTTTCATGTCATAGTTTTAAACTAAAATGATCGTATGAAGTGACAACTTGTACTTGTTTTAGTTAAATATTGAAAAAGAGCAATATCTGTAAATTTGACAAACAATTATATTTGTGTTTTCTAAGGTGTCATGGCCACCTTGAATTGGACTAACTGCAAATAATAATAATAATAATATTAATCAGTTTTAGAGGTACAACCAATGACTACTTTTTGATGGTTTCATCAAAACCCACCCAGTGGTTCATGAGATATTTTGCTAACAGACACATAGAGTTGATTTAATGACAAGGTTTTAAGGCGAAAGTCTCACACAATTAGTAAATGTTCAAATTATATTTTAGGGATAACTCTTAGCTACTATTAAACCAAATTTTACCCCATAGTTTGTGAAATTGTTTTATCCAGTGTTCAGTTTGCTAAGGTTGATTAACTGTGGCAACTACCTTCAATCAGGCTGACTCCAAATATTAATTACTTGTAGATGTAAAGCCAATAATTTATGAGGGTTTCATTATAATTCATCCACTGGTCTATAAGGTATTTTGCTAACAGTCAGACAAACACACAAACTCAAGCAAAAACTATATCATCTCCTTCTGTCTTTTGGCAATGGCAATAATGACCATGATAAATTCTAGCAACATTTTGGCTTAATAAACAATATTTTTTTTTACCTTTATTTATACAGGTTTAAATAAAAATAGTGTTATACACTGTTACTATAGCAGCATGGTCTTATTGGCTGAGTGGTTCTGTTAGCAACATGGTCCTGTTAGCAGCACAGTACTGTCAGCAGCATGGCATTGCTACCAGTATGGTTCTGCTAGCAGCGTGGTACTGTTAGCAGTATTAGCAGCATGATGATAGTAACGACTGCAACAACGGACGATGACTGCCCTCCAAAACCGTGTCCGGCAGACACAGAATATTCGAAGATCCCCACGGAACCAAACTGTTTCCTAGAGTTCGGTCCGTGCAGGCAAATGGAGGATTATGGAGACGGCCGCCATGACAGGTCGGAGCCTGAGCCCGAGGCAGAAAAGGGGCCGGAGAGTGGGGTTCTTGTAGAATGAACCGAGCTGCAGATGGATCGCGTAGGTCTCAGCGAATTCCCAGTGGACCGGAGTGGCTCAGAAAGCGATGGGTCACATCGAACCATCCTGCCAGACCCATGCACCGTGCCACCCTCCGTGGTCCATTTGAATATGCTTAGTTAGAATAAAATGCTGTGTCACTGATGTGTGTGGGCATTTTGAGCAGGAGGGTCAGAAAGCAATGGACCACACTGGATCACAGCAGGACCTGAGGAGGTTGAGAACAATTCACACAGTTTCCTGATTACAAAGACCTGTTCCTGTGCGCTGCAGTACTGCTGTTTTGTTCCCTTTGTGTCCCGGGGCCCACACAGGTTCCCTCAGGCACATTCTTTCATGCTTTCGAAGAATGACCCACTCAACCTACCAAAGAGTTCCAAAGAAGAACAACTACTTGTCCTTCTTCCCAAAATGCACAAAACCTGCTTTCTGTTTCCAACAGATCAAGGCCAGGTCAGACTCATTTTCCCTTTAAAAACAGAAATGACTTTTATTGCGTGCCATTGAAACACTAAGGTGGGCAATACTGTTTTTGTCAGCATGTGTCTGTCAGAAATATCTTATGAAACACTACATGGTTGTTTTATATGAAACGAGAACAAAGCAATCATTGAATGTTCATATTCATTCAACCTTTATTTATACAGGTTAATCCCATTGAGCCATGGGGACTCATTTACAAGAGAGACCTGAAGGTCAAGAGAGACCTGTTCATTGATACCTCTTTGGAAGTCAGCATTTCAAAACCAGTGAAACCGAAACTTAAAAACCCTAAAACTGACTGTGTCAGTCATTTTTCATGTATTTACCCAGAATTTGTTGTGAAAGCAGCCAAGATAGATTTCCAACATATACTCTGAGCAGTTGGAGTCAACTCTGTCTCTCTTTTAGCAAAATACCTTATGAAATACTGGACGGATTTTATAAAAATTTTCATTGACGGTACATCTACAACAAATTATAGTTTGGAGTCGAGTTCATTCAAGATGACTGCAAGAGCCAAATTACAATTGGAAACACAAAAATGGCTATAATAAGTCAGTTTTACAGATATTGTGCTAAAGTTTGGTGTGCTTGTTGCTCAAAGACATTCCCAACACATGCAGTATGACCATTATTTTCCAGCCTTTGTCAAAATAGCTGCTCAGCACAATATTTTTGTCTAAAACTCTGACATGAAAGGCAGGAGAGTGATATGTGTTTGAGGTTTTGCATATATAGTAACAATAAAAAGAAGCTCTTACCGCTGGTGACTGGCACAGTGTCAGCACCTTCAGTGACCTCACGGGTTCAAACTGTGGTGAACATCATGGGTCACAGCACTACTTCTGTCCAGAGGTTGATGGACTCCTATAGAACAGATCAGAGCTGCTCTTATTGTTGGAGTCAAACTCCCTGTCCCTAATGTTTCATTAGCCTCTCTAAGATGTATTCACCGAGTTCAATTGCTCAAAAAGGCTCCATCAGCAAGGCTTGTCCACTCCAATTAGAGCTGTGCCTTTAGTCAGTGGGCAAGTTGTCCTTGCTATTGTCCGAGCGCACAGAACCCAGACAGCGGCCAGACAGAGCCAAACTGTAGATTTACACAGCAGATTACACCAGTCAGTGGCCTCTCCAGCCAAAATGCAGCAACCGTTTGGATAGCAGTTGTGTGTTTACACTAAGGGTTTTTTCTGTTACTCGTCTGTAGCAACTGAATTGGAGAAACGTTGAGAAAATAAAGACTGGGTTCATCACTTTGATGAAACTGGAGATTGGATATAAAATGGGTTAAACTGTATCTTTACATTTCTCTTACTGCAGCTAGTAAATGCCCAAATTACACCTGTGCTTCTCTTCTTTTGTTTATTTCAGGGGTCACCACAGTGAGTCATCTTCTTCCATCTTACTCTGTCCTCTGCATCCTCTGTCCTCACCACAACTACTTCCATGTCTTCTTTAACTGCATCCATAAAACCTCCTCTTTGTCTTTTACCTGGCAGCTACATTTCTAGCATCCTTCTACCAAAATCACCACTGTCCCTCCTCTGGACATGTCCAAACCATCTCAGTCTGGCCTCTCTAACTTTATCTCCCAGTTGTTCAGAGTGTGCTGTACCTCTGATTATCTCATTCCTAACAGTATCCAAATGTCCAATTCAGACCAGTGAAAAATATGCAATCATTGATCCATAAAATAAATTTGCAATTACATTTGGTCATCTACTCAACTAAGCAATTACAAGCTGACATTTGAAACTCCAGAGTTGGCAGAATCTTAATGGACTACTAAGCTGAATTACACGCTTCTAAAATCAAAAGAGACTTTTGCAGAACTTGATTGTAGATACAAAATGTGCACGAGATAATGATGACACTTATGCAAGTTGCAGGAATCTTATGCTTTTCCCATAACTCTACTGCTTTGATGCCTGAGTCAATACTCAGAGCTTGCCACTGACTTAACTCGGTTCACCCAGTTCATCCCCCACATCCAAAATGAGATCAACTCTCCCACAGTAGACTGACAGCAGCAGTGAACCAGTTGGACTTAAACACAAAGTTGGGTTCTCTTTCATATTTAACATTAAGCCTTTAAAATGACCTTAGTGCATCTAAATCTGTTTCAAACAACTGTGAGATTATTGTAATTAAAGGTGCTCCTGACAAGCTGGGAATTGTAGCTAATAGCAACAGTTCACTAATCTATCGGTTTTAAATGTGTTGTTAAAATGATTCAGCCATTTAAAAGTGGATGTTTTTAGAAATGTTATGAACATAAAATTCTTACCTGTTGTAGACAGCTCTTTGAACAAGGCGCCGGTATATAGAATGATTTTCCTTTTCTTCTTCTTTTTCTTCTTTCAGCTGCTCCCTTCCTCAGGGGTCAGCACAGTGAACTGACTCACAGGAAACCTTGGCAGTTGTTTTTACGCCAGATGTCCTTCCTGACACAACCACAGACCACCAAGCTACCACAGCCCTCTGTGTGGAGCAGAGAGATGCCAGGGCACCCAGGAAAGCAGATGGTGGGGGTTAAGGGCCTTGCTCAAGGGGCTTGAATGGGGCAAATGAGGGTGGAGGCAGGTGTGGGTGCTTTAACCTCCCACCCACATTTTGATGTTGTCGGTCTGGTAGGTCCAACTGGCGACCTTCCAATCACAGGCTTGCCTTCTCTAACCTCTGCACCATCACTCCCCCTATAGAACGCAATAGTATTTTTTTTATATATATAAATATGTTTG